AGGATGGCTGTGGGAGTGGAAGCGAGAGTAAATGAGTAGCACATCAAACGACCTGCGAACGGATGTGTTAGTTAATGATAATAAGCTAAATAAATAATTATAATAAATATTATAATCACAAGGAGAGAAGGGCTGACGATACCTCTAAAATAACTCGGTAGATGAGAAGCCTTTATGCGGATTCTCCTTGTCACTAGTTGATTTCATCCTCGTCTCTCTTTGTCCGATAAAAACGGGCGCTTGTACTATCAGCAACAACCCGTTGCGGCCTATGAATCGCCTCACATGCCCTCGGATACATGCAGGCTTAACTTTTGGCCTTGTCCAAATCGTTCTATCGTCTTAGCTGTTCTTTCTCACAGCTGCAAGCGAATCGAAAACTAACAAAAATGAGTCTGGCTCCCAGAATCTCAGTTTTAACACGTTCATAGTGATCTCAAACCATAAGAAAGTGCTTGATACCGGTGGAAACCTACTGCAGGAGCACTTATTCGTTTGAACCTATTGCTACACGAAACTTCGATGCAATAAATAACGAAGCGAGTCCCGTTGCTAACTGGACAGATTAATCGCTAGAAAGCCAACGATTTGGTAAACAATTCAGCCGGTGAGGACGGTGTAGTAGATGTCATGAAAAACATTACATTAGTAATGTTCTATATATATATAGGAGTTTATTTTCAAGGACGTTACGGGTAGCTCCTGAGTTCTTGCTTGTACGCTGCTGTTTAAAACGGACGTTCGTCAACGAAAAGACTGAAACCCCCCCCCCCCCCCCCCCGATATCGTTATTATCGAATGCAGCTATCATTACTAAGAACTGCTGCAAATTTTTGGGAAGATAAAACGACCGAATCTGAATCATAGTACTCATGTTGTATACCCAAATATACCTATCAGAGCCACGTGAAGAGTCGTCACTTAACCTTATTCGAAACTGAGGTCGAGGAAGTGAGTTGTTGTCTTCTATAGCACGAACTTCCAAATCCTGTACGTACGTCGCAGTGGTGATAATACGTACGAATACAGGTGGCTACGCAGCGTTTTGTTTAGAAATAAAAAGATCTTACCAAGCATCTGCACTAATGATGGTACATATATATATATATATATATATATATATAGAGAGAGAGAGAGAGAGAGAGAGAGAGAGAGAGAGAGAGCGAGAATGGTTAGGGTTGCGACAGCGCAGCTCTTACAGTCTATCGGGCGGACTGGTCGTTAGACATCGTTGCGACATCACCAATCGCTGCCGAGTTCATAACACAGATACTGATATTGATAAGGATGCTAACAATAAGTCAAATTATAACTAATTTCATAATAGTTGGGTAGTCAAAAGCGGAAATGCACCAAAACACAGTCGCTACAAAGATGTAGTAGTACTGTCAGAAAAAAGGTGGAGAAGCGATCCAGATGACCGGATCGAGTGGTACTTTATTGTTTTGTATGGGAAAGATCAGTTTTCTTGATAACATCTACGATACGTAAGGTCTTCGCAGGACATTAGCGTGCACCATCTAAATTGAGTCCAAGATTTATGCGTTCATGATTGATTTCGGCTGCGAAGAACAATTGCTCGTTCCGAATGCTTGCTGACAGCCCAATCGCCATCAGAGATGCGGCTAATGTTATGTTACACAGGACGCCTAATTCCGAAATTAAGAAAAAAAAAACTTGATTAGGATGTGGTTAGGAAAAATATCCCCGGTCACTTGGTGCTTTCTCGACATTTTCGTAACTGTCTGTCTTTAGAAAGGATAGACAGCTACGAAAAGCAAAGAGCTATTTGAACTGGGTTGAAAGTACGCCTATTTAGTTCGTAACGAAATGGCTTGCCTTGATACAGACCCACATTTGAAGTTCCAATATGATCGTTCCGTTGGAAGTGGAACATGACAAAGCCTAGGCACTTGCAATTGGAATTGTTTGCGTCACGCGCATGATATGCTCGCTCCATTCACATGCAATGCAGGTCAAAATTGTACTGCTGGCTCGCATAGTCGCACATTTGTACACATCTAAGCCTTGCTACACGGTTTGTTTGGCGACCATATTGGTTCCATGAAGGGTAGCCAATGACAGCGCTGACGGGCCGAAGCTGTGCGTCAAATTGTGGAAACTGACCCAGCATTCTGCTGTCTTCAATGGTCGGCGCCTTCATGATTGCCTACCATGCTAAGCGCTTCGCCTCATGTTGTAGTTCGCGGGTGTATGTGTTTGGATGGATGTCTGTATGGACTTTGCGCGACCTTATCTGCGGGACTGGCCGCCTTTTTTTGGCTGTTGTGTCCGGGGTTCACTAGGCTGAGAAGGTAAACACAAGGATACCTATACTCGTATATATATATATATATATATATATATATATATATATGTTTTAAGCTATACGTGGTGTGAATGCAACTCTTTGCAGAGACTCTTTGGTCATTTAAAGGTGTTCTCGCCTCCTCTCTGAGTAGAGTTGTCAAGGGCATTACTAGTCGTCAATTAGACAATTATAATTACAATGAGCGTCAGGCCGAGTATTGTTTATGTGTGTTTATGGGAACAAGACATTTTTCTAACAATCAACTGCTTGACTTCGAGTTCAGTCTCGACCATACATAGTTCAGCCATATGGCTCATAGCATGACCGATCTAGTTGCCTAACTACACAACAAGTGAGATCTTTTGCGATTCTGAAGAAGCCAAGCTATGCTATAGATAGAAAATGAAAAAAAAAAAACAGGTTTTCTATTTATACCTAAAATATAATAGACGCACGGTGTTTTTTAAGTAGGACAAATATGGCAGTGGCCGAACTTTAAATTAGACCTTTACCAAACATGTACACACGGACCACAAACAGACGCGGCGGAAGACCGCAAACGCAATTTGCAAACGCACTTTTTCAATACACAATCAGCGTCCCTTTTTCATGCGAACACAATTTGGTAAAAAGATACTTCTGTGCATGCTCGCGAAAATGACTCAGCTGTACGTAATATGAAACACTGAAAGTATAGAAACCACAAATGTATACCAATCACGTTTGCGTACACGGAATGTGAACGATAGCTTCCATTTTCGGAACAAAAGACAGGTTTTTCCGCGTTACATCCTCTTTAGCTTCTACGCCTTGTGTTAGCTACATGATCATGAATCTACCGATATTCATGTCTGTGCCAATATCAGTTGGACAAATTTGTAATAGACAACAAAGAAATTTGCACAACTTAATTTGTTACAAACGATCTTGTTCTAGAAGTGAGGCGGGTTCGGCTAGAAGAAAATATTGGAAAAGAAAACGAAAACCAAACACGTAGAGGTTTCATACTAACTGTGCGTCGCAGCCCCCTGATCTTCTGTTCAATAACTTGAGTTCGCTAATGTTAGCCTTCATCGGAGATTAGAAAATAAGGAGCGCTGTCAGGATATGTCTTGGGTGCCAGAGCTAAGGCTTACCTGCATCTTTCTCTATAGCCGTATTTGTGATCATTATGAGTCCTCAGCGAATCTGGCATAAAGGGAAAATCATGTGTTCAACTCTGGCTCGGTACGAGAAACCAAGCTTGATTTGAGCTAGCAATTAGTCCTCACGTGTGAGAATACCCAACTTTAGTATCCTGCTACATATAATTATTATTGATTCGTCAGTTTTAAGACACTTATCATGTTTTTACGTGTGATCTTGTCTAGCACCGGCCAGTCGTTTTACGAGATCTTCTACGGCCGAGAACTTAAAGCCGGTTATAGTCATTGGCGTACGTTCAATCACGTTCTCAAGTATACGTGAGAAAGTTGTATTATATGTTGTTTCAAGCCTTGCGAACAACCACAACAGATCATGTATGTACTACATTTCGTGTGCGACAAAAATAGATCAAATAAGTTACTGTGTTCGAAAAGACAATGTTTACAGCCGTAAACGACGCCAGCCTACTATATATGTATATATTAGTATACCGTCTTAAGAGGAGCGTGAGTGTATTTCGTGTGTATAAGTGCGTTCATGTTAGCATGCGTATGTCACGGGCAGTTCTGGAGAGAGCCGAAGGCTTTGGCGAGAAGGAAAACGATTCAGGACTATCATCAATGATGGACTCCATTCTTCATGTGCTTGAAGTGTCCTATCACCGGGTTGACATTGATATTTGTACCATTAGATCTGTCTGTGAGACAATATGCGTGTTAGCTGTTGTCGCCTTGCGGGAAACGCCCAAACCTGACGTTCCACAGCCAATATAACTAGGCACGCTGTGTGTGTTGTCAGCATTATTTTTTCTAGAAAAATACAAACTCAAATAATGAAAAAATCCCACCAGAGAAGCGCCGCAAGGCACCACTGCGTCGATATGATAGCTATTTTTCAAAAGAGGCGTTCCGTAATCTTTTCTACGATAAGACATTTCCTAGTGAGAAATAGACATACATTTCTATACTGGTTTACATATATAAGACACTGAAAAATCTACTGAATCTCCTGAGACCGTTAAGAGGTCTGTAAGGGGATATTAGAGAATCGTGTACTCATGATCAAGTGTTCATTCAGTGTGTTGTGGTGCAAGCTATTTGTACACGGCTTTAATATGTATATATTACATATATATATATATAAAGCCGTGTATATATATATATATATATATATATATATATATATATATATATGGAAAGGGAGAAACACGAGAGAGTCTAATATAATTACAAGTTTCTTACATAGATATAAATCAAGCAGTGTAGCTCGCGAAGTAGGCAGCGGGTATTCGCCGATCGTTGATTTGAGCGTGTCGCTGTCGAAAATGTCCGTTCACCCAAAACGCAATTCCCAGATCACTCTCGGACTAATAACCTGTACTAGCATCAACTCTACTTATACGTATACCCTAAACACTGTATAAATACCGTATTTCGTTAGCGTTGGAATCGAACATTGTGCTGCAAAAGTTCGTATTCGAAGTATCTTAATAACCATGGCCTACAAATGTTGCT